TACACTCAAACGCCTTGAAGAGCCGCAAAAATTCGTCTTATTTTTTACATAGAGTTTGTACTTTTACAATAGGAAGACGGTATTTACGACCAAAACCTATAGAGAAATTATGATCATTTGTGAGTCAAAGTGCCAAAATCCAGCTTTTCCTTTTTCTGTAATTTCTCTCAAGAAACACGAAATACAGTGATTCTTTCAGATTGTTTCGTAGCTCAAGTTGGTTAGGTTCTTTTTAAACACTCCCTTTCGTTTCTTTGACTTTATTAATCGTTAACAAAATAAAGATACACTTCTAAAAACACTGCTCAGCTCTACGCTTATTATATATGTCTGCTATGTGAACAACACACACACGGAATGTATCTCATGCACGCGTCGCCCAGCGGCACGGTGGGATGCCTAAACGCTCGGCGCTTCCCTCTCCCCAACACAGATTATTTTGATTGTAACATTTATTAATAAAATAGCATGCATAAATCTTAGAAATAACTTCATTTCCATTATGCAAGAGAACTGCTTTCAAACTACTTTTATTGCTATCAATAAATAACCGCCTCTCGTGTACATGATGAATAAAATAGCACCCAACTATGTAAGCAATAATAAAACATCTGATGTGTCTGGGTTTAAAAACTTGCAAACTTGCGATGGATTATCAAGGGAAAACGAAGTCAATTCTCCTTCGTCTGTTGCTGTGGCATATTGTAAACTCAGTAAAGTCCCTATACGTGAGGGTACTCCAAAAAATAAGGTTCTGGTTCTGGGGGACAGTCATGTACGACACGCAGGTTTGATTTTGACTAGCAGTTTAAATAGTTTAACTAGCGGTTTAAATAGTTCATATGTTCTTACCATTTGTAAACCAACTGCAAAATTTGTTGAAGTAATAAATGATATTGATATAACTTACATATGGGTACAATAAAAATGACTATGTTGTTATAATGGGTGGTTGTAATAATCTGTTGGCTAATACGGCAGCCCCTGATTTTATTTTTGATCAAATGAAGTTGTTATCGCATAAATACAATATTTGTATCGATTCCCTATTAGGAAAGTAAATTTGGTCTAAATAATAGTATTTACAAGTATAATTGTAAAAAGTTTGTCTTTGAGTCAGCAAGCATGATAAAAGAAAACATGGTTTACACCTTAATATCGGAGGTAAAAATAAAGTTTTTAAATTCATAACTAATTTAATCGCGAATCGACCGTTTATGTTAAATTCGAATCTTATTACGATTGATTGTGTCAATATAAATGATGAAAATTTTCATAACGATGTGGTACCAGTATTGATATCATAAATAAATGTAGGAATATTGCAAGAGGGGGCAAGCGTGACGGCTGCTGCAAGTTATTGCACTACACCGTTCAGGATTTAAAAAGGAAAATTGTTGAACTGGAAATATACTTGAAGGAAACCTCTGTTGATGTGCTGTGCCTGAATGAGCACTGGCTGACGAATCTTGAAATTGGTAATGTTAACCTAAATGGATATGTGAATTCATCAAGCTTTTGTCGTTCTGTGCGTTTACGGGGTGGTGTTCTGGGCTTCCTTCTCCCACACCTCTTTCGTTTGATACGTTAAAACTCTCAACTGAATTAGACTTTGAAGTTGCTGGTATAAATTATAATGATGTTCAGATATTGTCTGTATACCGTTTCCCAAATGGAAGTTTTGACTCTTTCCTTTACAATCTAGACATTCTGTTAAAATCGCTATCACCTAGAAAGGGTATTATTTTGGCAGGTGATTTTAACGTAATTGCTTTGTAATATCTGCGAGAGTTATGGGTTAATTAAGACAATTATAAACAGTACGCGTAATGAAAATTGTATTGACAATATATTCACTAACTTAAACGAGAGCTTCCATTTTGGCCTTGTTTCGTACCTTTCCGATCACTTGGTTATATCCTTTGAGTACGAATCGCATTTTAGATCATTTAGAGGGCTCAAAACAAGGTTCCGTCCTATCACTCAAATAGGTCTAATGCATGACGCAAATTTTGAATTCATCTCTGATAGTACAACCGATGTGAACACTGTTGCTGCTTTATTCATGCAAACATTGAGAAATGCTTTTGATGTTAGTTTTTCGGAAAAAACACGCTATACTACTGACAATAGCTGTGAGGTTAAAGTTAAATGGTTTAATAATGCGGGATACTTTACATTTTCTTTACTTTACATAGTCTTTACTTTACATAGTCTCTAATACCAATTTTTGAAAAAATCGGCCTACTTTTATTTGTTTGTGATCATTTTTGTGCTAATAGGCGTTGATAGTGCTTTATTGAGCTTTATCAAGCTTTATTGACACTTCGCTTTTATACTTTATTAGCCGTAGTATTGTTAGCTTAAAATGCTTACTTTACAGCAAAAAATTTACTTGGTGCAATGTTATGGCAAAGGCGAAAAATGTTATCGTCGAGTTATTCAGGAAATTAATGAAAAATTCCCCAATGTGTACGTTTCTGAGACTACTTGCCGTAAAATAATTTTGAAGTTTTTAAGCACTGGGTCATTGTTTCGAATACCTAGAGAAAAGAAGAGATACGATTAAAATGATGCAAGCACTTTGTTGGTATTACATTCAGTAAAGAAACACCCAAACTTATCATTAAGAAGAAGAGCTGAAAATCTCCAATTTGCTAAAAAGTCGCAAATTCAGAAGATATTAAAATACAACAAGATACATCCATACAAGCCAGTTTTTAATCATGTTTTGGAAGTCGGCGATGAAGCAAAACGTTTGGATTTTTGTTTGTGGGTTGGCAGTATGGAAAGTGGATTTCATAAGAAAATAATGTTTTCTGATGAATTAAGTTTTTCGACCAATGGTGTTGTGGCTTCGCAACATGTACCATACTGGAGTGACTCTAATCCGCATTTTCGAATACCACGGAGGCGTCAGTACTGTGTTAAAGTAAATGTGTGGTGCGCCATTTCTTAATACGGAATAATAGAGCCATACTTCTTTGACACTACTTGTAATGCGAATAGTTATTTAGCTATGTTAAGAAATTTCCTCGACGGTGAATTAGATAATCTTCCATTACAATACAGTCGTTCATTTTATTTTCAACCAGATGGATGCCCAGCACATTATGCGGCAACGGTTAGACAATGATTAGACCATACGTTTTCAGACCAGTGGATTGGGAGACATGGACCAGTTCAGTGGCCTCCTAAGAGTCCAGATTTAACATTAATGGATGTTTTCCTATGGGGCCGATTGAAACAAATTGTTTATCGCACACATCAAATAAATGCCACTACTGATCAATTAAAGGATGCGATTAGAATGCCGTTGCTTTAATATCTTTACATGAGGTTAGAAAAAGTTTTGATGAATTACTTGTTCGTTTAAAAGCATGTGCTCAACAGGGTGGTAGTGTGTTTGAGTAAATAAACTTACAACTTTTGCATTGTTAATTTGGAATTAGTTAATTGATATTAAAATAAATTTAATGATCTCAAATAAATAAAAGTAGGCAGATTTTTTTGGAAAATTGGTATTAGAGACTACCTTTTACTTTTGAACAACTTTCCCTAGTAATTTATTTCCTTATCTTCTCAAATAAATACACTTTACTCTTGTACCATTTAAAGTTTTTTCAATTTTCTGAACACCGCGTATAAAATATGTTAAATGTTTCTATCCCAATCTTACTCTAAGAACTAGCAAAATTTTTTATCAAGATTAACTTTTCTCGATAAAATTAAAAATAAAAAGGTTTTTCCTATTCAACACCTTTTCCGTGGACATACTGTATATAAGTAGGTTATTTATGACTAGTAATATGTATTACTAAACAGCATTTTGTATTTTGTACTACTGACTTGTGATAATGCTTAATAGTATATTTTCATTAATAAAGATTATTATTATTATTATTATAAGGCTAGCCAAGCTCCTTGAACAAACCGAAAATGTCTTTGCAAAAGCATACGTTAAGCATATGTAATATGTTACTTTAACACTCGCATCTAAAAAGTCATATTGCTTCATACGAGATGTATGTAATTCTGCTTTCTCCTTTGAAAGCTCCAAGTCTCTCACCCAATCATTCGGTTCTTCCTGTGTTAGAAGATGCTGTTCAACCCGTCCTTGACATTCAGTTAAATCACTTTGGAAATTTAACGTATCAGTACTTGAGGATTGAGATATATTGGAACTATGGGACTGAGATAAATCAGGGCAGTTGGGAATGGGAAGTGTATCTAAATGCGGAACTGGAAACGTGACAGATTGTACGTTTGCATAAACCCATCGCATATTTTTTCCAATTCCGGTTTGTTTACTTCGGAAATAATAGCAGTCGGTTGTATGACAAAGTGGTTCAATCCAAATCATTGGTACGCCAAATTTCATGTAACTATAAAGTAAAAAAGATGTGACAAACCTATGCGAAGATCCTGTGTACTAAAACTGATAGTTTTCTAAGAATAGTAAAATGCACTTGTACCTCAAATATCTTTTTTCAGGTAAACTTAATTCACTGAATAAAACGGCAATATACTTTAGGAATACCGAAAAATATAAAAACAGGAAAAACCTGGGCATCTTGTTATTGTAAAAGTACAAACTCTATGTAAAAAATAAGACGGAATTTCCGCGACTCTTCAAGGCGTTTGAGTGAATTTTGGATTGTGATTTTTGATTAAAAAAAACTGATTTTCAATTCAAATATCCAATAAAAATTGTAGCATTCCGTTTAAAATAACAAAGTTGTAGGCTACTTCCGGTACACTGGATGTGGCAGCCATCTTGAAATTATTTATATGAGAAAAATACAGTGGCGTCAAATGTACATTTTATGAATTTTTTTTTCTAGACTAATGTTATTATTTAATAAATACTATCAATTATTTAATTAATCAATTACTGAAATACGCGCAAGATTTATCATAGTTTATAAAAGTTATTGATATCTTTTAACCTAAGGTCAGCGTCATATATGACCAAAAATCAATTTTATTAAAACTTAAATCTTCGCAATCACTTTAAAAGTTGTATGCGTAGAAAATCTATGACCTTCACACACGAAAAGTTTATATAAAAACGTGTAATTTTAAATGCACGTAATTGTAGATTCCAATTCAAATCGCAACAATGTACATCGTAGTTGTGTTATTTATTCTTCTATTACTGCAATTTATTTACCTTCGGTTATGGAGGTACAGATCGCTGAGAAAAATTCCAAGTCTTTCTAATTGCCCCATTGCTTCAAGTGGAAATATTGATGGTAAAAATATCTTTTTAATAATTAATGTTTTAATTAATTTTCAATACAGATATGTTTGATAAAATGGCTTCATTAAACAAAAATATGGGGTCTGTTGTGATTGTTTGGAACACACCGATAACGCCAAAGTTATTTGTTGCTAATTGTGATCTTGCTCACGCGATTTTATCATCCACCAGTTCAAATTTAGGAAAAACGAAATTTTATGACTACTTAAAACCATTTCTTGGAAGTGGTTTAGCTACTTCTAACGGTAAATATTTTGTAATCACCACAATTAAAAATATTAGTTATTTGATTATAGTTCCAACATGGAAAAAAGAAAGGAAATTAACTAATCCAGCTTTTAACTTAAAGCTCATGGAAGCTTACGATGACATTTTTGAGCATCATGGAAATGAAATGGTTGATATTCTTAGGAACGAAGTAAATAAAAAATCGATTGATTTAGTCCCTTTTGTGGATTTATACGCTTTAGATGTAATATGTGGTAAAAGAATTATTAATTTATTTTAATTGGATATATTAATTAATACTTTATAGAAAGCATTGCTGATGTAAGGACAAATCTCCAACGTAAAGCCGACCTTGAATATTTAACAGCAAGGTCAAGATTTTTAACAATAGTTATGAACAGGATGTTGTCTTACTTTAAAAGCCACAACACATTGTTTAAATTTACGGGAGATTATAAAATTCAAAAGCAATGTGCTCAAGTTCTCAATAACTTTTCCAAATATTTAATTCGGGAAAATAAAAAATCGGATTTAAAGAATACATTAACATCAGATAAATTTAAGAATGTCTTGGATATTTTACTCGAATCAAGTCTTGAAAGGGATCGTGTTATTGATCATCTAAATACGTTTATTGTTGCTGTAAGTAAATAAAGTAAATTTATTAATGTTAATTGATTTATTGATTTTAAATATTAGGGTCATGATACTCCAGCATCTACAATTGCATTTGCATTATACGAAATTGCACAACATCCAGAAATCCAACAAAAGATTCTCGAGGAATCAATAAACATTTTAGGAAAAGATAAAGATGTAACGATTACTAAAAACGATATGCAACGCATGGTTTATTTAGAAGCAGTAATTAAAGAAGTTTTAAGGTTTTACCCTGGCGTAGCTTTTATTGAAAGAAAAACAGAACAAAAAGTAGCCGTAGGTAAAGACATAACAATGATTACTTTTTTCGACATGCCCCTAATATAAAAATGCTTTAGGCGATTTTATTATTCCACCGGATGTAGAAGTCACAATAAATATTTACGGCCTTCATCATAACGAGGATTACTTTGAAAACGCTAATAAACTAATACCGGAGAGATTTCTTCCCGAAAACAAATTGCAAAACAATTTCACTGCATTTATGCCATTTTCTAAAGGCCCAAGAGACTGCATCGGTTAAATAAAACTTACTTTATTAATTGAGTTTTATTAAGTAATGAATACTAATTTTAGGTAAAACATTTGCTATGTTCCAGATGAAATCCGTAATAAGCAAAGTTGTGAGAAATTTCGAACTGTTACCGACGAACCCGAAGCACAAAGTAGCTCTAACTAGCGAATTTGTTATTAAATCCACAACTGGGCTAAGGGTGCAACTACGGGAGAGGAATTTATGATGTTTTAATAAAAGTATTATGATGTCGTGTGGAGAGAGGGTTCAGTTTCAAAGTTTTATGAAATAAAGACTTTTTAAGGTTGTTTTCTGTTTGTGTGTTGATGTAATAGAAATATCCTTTTACTTCTGCAATGTTGGTTGCCTGTGCACTGCAGTAATAATAGTAATTCATTTAAAAATATAATTTTGAAATTAAATTTCTTCTAATAAAATACTTTGATATAAATTAATAGTAATAGTTTGATCAGTGGATCAAGTGGTGTGATGAGTGATATGACTGCGAAATCTCAGCGACAACTTTGAGAAAGATATGGTAAACACGCCCGGTGTTCAAAAATGCGTACTAAAATGAACAGTATGTACTGAATTCTGAGAGGAAATATCGGAGACCTTTTTGTTTTTAAGTCATAAGTTGAAACAAAACTAGTAAAATGTATTACTTTTATCACTTTTGAACGGTATTTACTACATTCCCTAACAATGCACTGATTTCAGTACAATTGTACCGAATAAGAATTTTGTACTGAATTGCTACTTTCACGTACTTTATCCCTGAAATTGTACTGAATTCAGTACAATTGTACCGAAACGGCAACACTGAACACGCCTAAGGTCGACCGGTGCCAGTAGTCGACCATCTGCAACTATAATTTAAAAAATAAAAGTGTAGTAAAACTTGCTCTATTAAAATTTGTATCAATAATTAGTTGCCAGTGTCTGTAACCCAAATTACAAAAAAATGCGTAAATACTGGTGGTCTAATTTGTTAGTTTAGAAAAGTGCATACCAAGTTAACCGTTTGAGGTAAGTAAACCTAGACTTTTATTTAGCATGACGTCTTTCATAAATAAGCATAGAAAGTATTATAATCTTGTTTTACTTCAATCTGGACATAGACACAATTTTAGATACAACAGTTTTACTATTTCTTTAAATGAAGTTGTTAAGAACATAGTACTTGTTTTTATTTTCGGGAGGTCGAACATAGGTTTTATAATTAATATAATCTTCCATTAGTCGACCACAGTGGACGACTACTGGAGTATTTATTACTGTACGAAACGTTTTCTAGTCGTCGACCGCTTCTTAGATTACGTAAAAATTCAAAATATTCAAAATCATAAACAGCTTTAAGAAGACTGTTCTCTCTAGTTAAATCTAATCGATTCTGCTTAACTCGACTAATAATAATAATTTTTATTTTTCATGGATTTTTCACGGTTTCAATAATTACATTAAAAATTTAATTTACAATTCACACAAATCCTTACAATTAATTATTAATAAAGATAGATAGGTAATAAAGATATGTACGCTTTTTCAGGAAAATGTCAAAATCAAACAAAAAAGTGTTCCACAGATATTCAAAAACATCTTGAACAGATGCCATTGATGCAATTCACAATGGTATGGGAATAAGAGAAGCATCTCGAAATTTTCAGTTTCCCAAAACTACTATAAGGCAGAATAAAAATGGGGCCTTTGATTATGGGGCCACCTACCATTCTCAGTCAAGAAGAGGAACAGAAATTACCTTTGTGGCTGAAACATTTATCCATGACAGGATTCCCCTTGAAGAAGGAAGAATTGTTGAAATCGGTTCAACACATTGTAAATTCAGACAAAAGACGAACACCTTTCAAAGACGGCAGCAAGCCTGCGGAGAAGTGGTTTAAGGCATTTTGTAGACGACAAAATATTGCCTTTCAGGAGCCGGAAGCTCTGTCAAAATCACGAGCAATAATTACAGAGGAAGCGATATGAAAATGGTTCAGAGAGCTAAACCACTTCTTAAACGAAAGTAATTGCAAAGACATTTATGAAGACCCTCGTCGGGTATTGAATGGTGATGAAACCGGGTTTTCCCTGTGTCCAAAATCCGGGAAGGTTTTAGCACCAAGAGGCACCAAAAATATATATCAAATAAAAAATGCCAATGAAAAGGAGAATATAACTGTACTACTGGTTTTTTCTGCGAATGGTCAAACATTATATCCAATGGTAATTTTTCCATATGTTTGACCTCCAGCTGCTCTAATGAAGTCGACTAACGGTTTATTGGTAAATCTACTAGTGGCTGGATGAAAAGTGATATTTTTACGAATATGTGGTTAATGGTGTCGATAGGTGGTTGAAGGAAAATGATGTGCCACGCTCTGTTATATTATTCGTTGATGGACACACATCTCATTTATCGTATCACCTAAGCAAATGGTGTGGTGAACATAATATAATTTTGTATGCTTTGCCTCACAATACAGCTCATATCATACAGCCAGCTGATGTGAATGTATTTAAGCCTTTAAAAGCTGATTGGGAGGCGACTGTTCGTGAATGGCAAAATAAAAATGATAATCTAAACAAAGCATTAACAAAAACTGATTTTTACCCTTTATTGGACGAATGCCAAATGGCTTTAAGCAATGTGGTATTTTTCCGCTAAACCCGAATGCCGTAGATTTTACAAAATGCATTCAAAATCGATTAGAAAATACAATATTGAGACCCATCGATTCGATTACCATGGAAGACTTAAATATCACAAAAAAGGTTCTTTCTCATTTTAGTGAGGTATTGAAATCGTAAAATATCGATGTCGAAAAAATTAGTACTGTCTTAGACAATTAGTGGACATCACAACATTCCAGGACCGATAGGCGAAACATATACTGTACAGGCTGTCCAAATTTCGATGGGTTTGCAGGGTATCTCAGTTATTATGAAAGATAGAAAGTTGCGGCTTTTGCGAACCTGAGCTACTTTTTTGTGAAACTTACAATGGCGCAAACCAAATTTGCATAGGCCTCTTCGTTTTTGATATACAGGGAGTGTTTTATAATTTACGATTTTCAGACACCTCCTGTATCTGATGAACCGAATCTGATTCTTCCTCAAGATATCAACGAAAATTCGAATATCGATAAAGTTAACGATAATAATCAGCCTGAAACTTCGAATCAGTCAATGCCTTTACAAAATTTGACCAACTTTGAAAGTCACTTATACTGGCCTGCACCTATTTGTACAAACAGAAAAATAAAGAAAAGTTACCGTCAGCTATTTTTTCAATAGCATATAGTAAATATTTAAAAAATAAAGAAAACAAGAAAAAGGAAGAAGAGAACAGAAAAATGGAAAAAAAGAGTTGTAAGGGCAGGGAAAAAAAAATCTATCGAAAAAAAAGAAAATGGTATGCGATGAAAAGCCATAAAATGCTCTGAATGTGATGAAGAGCTTATTAGCGATGTGGAAGAAGACGAAATGAAGAACATCGGCTGTGATGTGTGCACAAGATGGTACCACCTAAAGCGTACGGAATTCATAGGATTTAGTTACGAGGAAGTACAGTTCAAAAATTATAAGTGTTCCTTCTGCTCCTAATTTTGTAAAAAAAAATATTATTCCGGAATAAAGTGATTATTTATTTAATGAGCATATGTTATTGTCAAGACAAAATAAAAAATTAAAACATGAATTTTTAATTGATTTTTATAAATCAATTTACTGAAAAATTATAATTTTTCTCTTGACGAATTTACACGAACTTAAATACAAATGATAAAAAATAAACTGACTGCAGGCTGAAGAAATACCGGTCGACCACTGGACTTATACTGGTTGACTACTGGCTCCTTTTGAACGTATTTTAGGATAATTTTATTTTTATATTGTTCTAGCATGAATCGATTGCAGATTTCCAAAAATAAATATTTTACCTATCTTAATTTAAAAAGATCAGTTCATTGTGCCTTTAGTTCTATTTTTTATCGTCGTTTAACTTTGAAATATGTCTTAAATGGTCGACCACTGGTGTGTTTACCCTATATGCTTTTAATTAAGAATAAGTAATAGTATACAGGGTGATTCACATAAGAACCGACACAGAGCAGGGACATGTGGAGGACAATAAATTAAGATAATTTAACGCAACTTATCTCTCTACTAAGTTGTACCCCTGAGGAGTTATAGGCCTTCAAAGTTGGATCTTAAAGATTTAAAACATTGAATATCTTCGTAATACATTAAGCCAGAAAAACCAAATTTGGTATACGCTATGAGTGTACCGAGGGTATTAATTGGTAGCAAGCTGAGACCAATTGAGGCATTTCAAAGGGTTGATTAAGGGTGATGGTCCCGTAAATTTTGACAGAATTTTTTAACCTTTTGGTGGATTTAATACATTATTACCTCATTTCATGTGGAATTTAATTCTAAAACTTTTTTTAATCTTATTATTTTTAAAAAAACGTTGTCGTTTTCATAAACTTAAATAACTAAACGAAAGTAAATTCAACATTTTTTTTTGTTAATGATGGCACAATAAAAGTATAAAGAAAAAGAACGGAAAAAATAAACAAAAAAACTTGAAAACCACATTGAATCGTGATGGTATGAAATTACATATCGTGGCTGATGTAGGAAATTTAGCGTTTATTGGGATATTTCAGTAGGATAATGATTCCAAGAATTCCGCTTACATTGTGAAGGAATGGATATTATATGACGTCCGTAACCAATTAAAATACTAACTACAGCATCGGGTCAAGAACTTAACCCCATATCAAAATTCGAAATAAAATTTCTCCCCACAACTGACAGCTAACTTTTATGTAAAATCCGATTTGCTTTAATTGTTAACGTTATAGTATGTATAAGAATAACCTAATGCATGTAGATTTTTATAAGTAATTATAATATAATATATTTTGCGTTTTTAATCATTAAGAATAACTTATGCTATTTTTATGTAGAACATTAAAATAATTTAAATAATATAGACTTGTATATCTTTCCTTATAAAATTCATTAAATAAACTTCAGGAGGATAATAGTTCAGATTATCATTTTCTGGGGTGTATGTAGTCTTTATTACATTTTATTATATTTGAACGAATGTGTTAACTTGAGCATCATCAAATTTTTACCTGAGACTCACGCTTTACGTTTATTATCTTATTCCTATTGCGTATAGATTTTCTGCGAAAGGTGGTAGAACCAGATGTTGATTTACTACAGATGATTGGATAAGTTGTAGTTCATATAAAAGCTCTTTTGCAGTGATAATTGTTGGGTCAAATTACGCAAATGTTTTTCTGTTAACAATATATTAGTAATTGTCAAAATAGTTGTAATCGAATTTGATAAAGAAGCATGGGCCTTCAATATCGTTTGAAAAGAATATTGTTTCTGCTCTTGTTGATGTAATTGTTTAATAATTGAATTTAAATATTGGGTCGTTATATTTATAGGTTTTCCTTTAATGTTTTAAGGTTGTCTTCATAAGTTGGTAATATTCCTTCGGCTAAATGTATTTGTGATTGAATATTGGCGATGATCTCCTTTTGATTGTATCGCAATTCTTTTAATAAAGAATCGTATCTTGAAGCATTTTCTGCATCTATATTTCCCGTAATTGCTTTTATTATTGATCCGGCAAAATTTAGTGCTCCTCTAGTTCTTCGTACCGTTGGGATATAGTTGATGTTCTTCGTCGATAATTTGGTTAAATAATCCTTGAGGTTCTCCGGCTAATATTTGTAATGAGTGTTTGGTGTCATTATCTGTTATATTGTTGATAGTATCCTGTAGTTGGTTTAGTTGTAATTCCAATTGGTAATTTGGTCGGTGAGCGGTTGTGGTCCAGTGACTTATTTGATTTTTAGCGATTCCTAGATGTAGTGGAAATAATGGTCCATCCAAGGGTGTTATTCGAACGTCTGCGCTGACGTACCAGCATAGTAATGTTATTTAAATTGTTATCATTTGTTTTTTTTTCGGTTGAGGTCCTGGAAAGCAGTCGACGATTTGAGATGGCTAGCTTCTCGGCAGGTTCCGCCTTGTTCAGGCATGTGGGCGATTGTAGCTTAATCCTCGGCTGAACGGTGCAGATCTTGACAACAAAGAACTAAGTTCACCGAATCACGTTTTCCGCATATTGACACGATTTGAGAGTCAACACAGAATAACACACACGATTGGGAATTTTTTAAAAAGCGATTTATTGTTCGAAGACAAGAACGAAGTTTATTTTATGATATTAAAACAAAGACTTGCATATAATTGAGTTCTATTCTACTTATATACTATTTTCCTTATCTTTTACGGTGTCAGCATTTTTCTTATTGTTGTGGCATGTGTTAACTATAGATATTATACGTCGAAAACACAATTTCATTTTGTCATTGGTCGCAAGTATGTATTACTGGTCAGCAGAAAATTCTTGTTGGTTACGTGAAATGAATTACAAATGACCTTGAACAGTCAATGTGTTGTATGGGATTATAGGTGACACTTTCATTATTGATGATGATACATTAAATGGAGAGATTTAGAAATTTTTTAACGAACTATCAGTAAGCTAAGTGCCAAGCAGGCATTATCGAAGTAATTGGATAGGTTGGGCCTCATTAATTGACCTGTTAGGTCTCTCGATATAACATTTCTTGATTTCTTTCCGTGCGGTTACATTAAAGACAAAGTCTATCTAGAAGTGCCACTACGTCGGAAAATATGAAGCAACGAATATGTGATGTGTGCAGACAGTTAAGTTCAAAAATGTTACGACAAGTAGATCCATCTTTTATTTATCGTCTACATATACATATGAGCATCGAAGCAAACGGACATCACTTTAAGCGCTTATTGCGTTAACATATTGTGATGAACGTGTATTTTATTATCAAAACACAATTTTTACATATATCATAGAATATTTCGGGAGCTGGTTCAAACAGAAATTCGTTAATTCAAAAATTCGACTTAACGCCTTTTTTGTTTATTTTTACTATCTTTTTTTTTTTTTTTGGTTCCATGACTTTTATTTTTTTATATTAACGCCACCTCTTAATACTATCATAAGTGATATGATATTATTACAATATGTTATTTTTAACCGTAGCTCATTTGTGAACAATGAACACCATACAAAATATTTTCCCCCTTCATATGATGAAAGTTTTATCTGAAACTTCTTCGATAAAATTGATGGTTATGAATTATTAGGTCGTCTCAATTTAAATGCCTCTCCCGGTATATAAATAATTGTTTGATTGAATAATGTAGGTTTGTTGAGTAATGATTAATATAGATGTATTTGTATTATAAAATAATTTTAAATCAGCTGATTAGATTTAAATCAAATGAAATTGTCGAAATAGATTAATTACGCAGTTTCTTATCGTTGCAAAATTGCAAAAAAAATGTTGTCAAAATATCTATCAATTACCCAATTAACTACTTATCAATTTGCAACAACTTTCATTGCCGAGGTCATAAGTAATCAATCAGTTGACCTATCTTAAAATAAAACATATTTACTCATAATTCTTCTTATTAAAACAGTTTTCCACGAACAACAACTTTTATATACGCACCCAGAAAGTCTATTACCAGTAAAATTACGAATTACCTAGAATCGAAAATTCTAAGTTTTTATACTAATTATAGATTTTTTCTAGTGGTCAGTCACGAAAATACAAGGTCTATATATTACAAAATAATCACGGTGTTAGTGTTATTCTTTATGTCTTTTTAATAACAAGACGTATTGTTGTTTAGTTTTGTTTATAAATTAAAGGAAGAGTTATATTATTATCTGAAATATCGCAATTTTTTTTAACAAATTCAACGCTGACCTTTGGGTTTGCAGATATAAATTTGAAAAGAACTGGAAATTTCGTCTATTCGTAAAGCAGAAACATTAAGACTATGTTACCAATAATATATTTAGTATTAATCTTTAGTTTTTTGATATATTATTTTATAAAATTTAAAGAAATTCATAAAATTCCTGGACCTTCGTTTTTTAATACATTCTTTAGAATTCTTTGGGGATCTAACAGCTCAAAAGGTAGGTGCTTATCAAATATTAATTAATTAAACACCTTTTTTTAATCCAATTAGATGTTTTTAATCACTTCAAAAATTTAAATTCGACGTATGGAGATGTAGCTAAAATATGGATAAATCCATTAAAACCAACAATCGTTACAACAAATTTAAAATACATCGAATATCTGTTAACTTCTAGCGTTCATTTAGATAAAGCTAGAGTATTCGATTTTCTTCGACCTTACATTGGATTAGGTCTTGCATCCTCAACAGGCCAACAATGGAAACTACATAGAAAATTACTCAATCCAGTGTTTCATACAAAAATATTAGAAAAATATTTAAATGATTCCGAGAAGTATAATGAAAAATTAGTGGAAAAATTAAAAAAAGAAAAAGGAAAATTTATCGATGTATTCCCAATAATTCATGAACATACCATGAATGTATTATGTGGCACATTTTTACGTACAAAGAAACAATCAGTAATCGGCGAAAAATATTTGGATGCTCGAAGATATTTTTATGGGACAGTTATACAACGTTTAATGTCCTTATTATGGCAGTACGAAACTTTATATAAATTAACAAAGTCTTATCAGGAACAAACGAAAAGTTGTAATATCCTAAAAGCATTCTCAAGAACATTAGTTGAAAGTTATAAGGAAGAACTTAAAACTCGATCTTTAAGCGATTACGTAGAAAAGAAAGAATTTTTAGATGTTTTATTCGAGGACGGTAATTTTTCGGAAGAAGAAATTATGGATCAAGTTAACACTTTTATTATAGCGGTAAATTTTATTGATGATAAATTAAAGTTAAATTTGAAAAATTATTTTTTAGGGCCACGACACTTCCGAGTCATTAATGTCATTTATCTTTTTCGAATTGGCAAGACATCCTGAAGTTCAAAAGAATATACTTGAAGAATCAATTTCCATTTTGGGAAAAGATAAAAACGTTGAGCCAACTTATTCTCAAATCTTACAAATGAAATATTTAGAAGCCACTATTAAAGAAGTTATGAGATTGTATACTTTAGTTCCATTACTTGATAGAAACATAAAAGAAGACATCACAATAGGTAAGAATTGGGAAAAAAATTTTGTAGGTAAAAAACGATCGAAAATAAACATTTACTGACTGTTATTTGAGCAGCTTGAAAAATCTTTCGTATACGGTTGAATAGAAAACGTATTTCGTGAAATCTCACAAAGGTTAAGGGTTTTACAGCGAATTTCCATAAAGAACGAGAACTTTGACGTCTGTTTCAGATGGACGAACGATTCCTGCGGGTACGGATATCACAATATGCGCGTACAGTTTACACCGAAATCCCGACCATTTTCCGGAACCGGAAAAATTCGATCCGGAACGATTTATGCCTGGAAACGTCGAAAAGATTCATCCATTCGCCTATATTCCTTTTGCGTTGGGACCTCGCATATGCATTGGTAAGTTTATTTTTTAAAATCGAACATTATTTTATTTTCGTGTTTTAGGTAAAACGTTTGCTATGACCACAATGAAAGCAACAATAACAAAAATAATAAGAAATTTTGAATTGGTATCTTTAAATAAAAACGAAAATCTAGAAGTTACAACAGAATTCGTTTTAAAACCTTTAAACACGGTTAATTTAAAATTTTTGGAAAGAGAAATTATTTAGTGTTGTTAATTATTAAATAAAATTCTTCCTGAAAGATTTATTTTAAATTGTTTATTTAAAGTGTAAGATCAAAACGGTAAATTGTAGAAATTGTAAATGAGGAAAACCCGAAAAGTAGATTAAAAAGCTTGGTTGTGGATGAAAGCTGGCTTAAAGGCTTACCGTAAAAATTCGTTGACAGACAACAGACGTGTCGAAATATGTTGATCGTGGCATCACAACAAACACCAACGTAAATATTCTGAAAACGCGGCATACCACCAAAACAAAAAGCACGAATCCGCGTAGCGTTTTGCGCCGAGTTTCGGGTTGCGATATCGATTAAAGGATTAGCCGATCTGATGACTTATCAGCTTGCGCCTCGCGCTTTTTTGTTTGTTTTATATTAATTCCGTACTGCTGATAACGTGCCAATTAGTAACCCTCGTTACAACCACATTTATCAACCACTTATCTCTTATCCTGTCCGTGTATATATTTCAAAACGTGATAAATAGACGTACATTTTTAATATTACAAAAAAATCTTACTTACCAACCATCTTGATGTAAATAGCATTTTGGGATGTTGTATCTACTTGCACTGCTTCTTGTTTCTGAAATAAAAAATACTAGTAAAAAAAATGTAAAACTGTAAAAAAATCTAGATATAGGTGGAGGTTATTCTAGTACAATGATTTAGTAGAAAAATTCAAACGTGCTCGTGCAGTTAATAGTTAGAAATTAAAATGGCCATGTCGTCAAGTTTAAATGCCAACTGAATTTATGCCAAGCAACACTTCATAGTTGCAATGTCGGCGGTTACAAGGATTGAATGCTGAACACCAAATGGATAACCTGCGTTACATAACATCGCAACATAATCAGCTACGCAAGAAAAATAACACCTGTCCGTTTCGATTTCGTTTACGGTCAAAATTGAAAAGTAAAAGAATGTAGCTGTATTAAAATCAATAATTTTAAATTAAAATTCTAAAAAGTGGTGCATTACACTATCTCATTGTAATAATATTTCTATAATAATATTTCTTTATTTATGCAAAAAAAGTGCATGCACTCTTACACCTGTTAAAACACATATTGCATATTATATATAGTAATTAAAACTACAGAAATACTCAAAATTTACATATCGTCAACATTACAATTTAAAAATTCTTGTGTTTAATAAAACGCATTTTTTAACAGGAATACTTTTAACCCTGCATTAATTCCAGCGGAAGGTAACTCATGTAACCGTCGAGGTAATCTATTAAACAGTTTTTGGCCCATATACAAGGGACCGCTCTGGGTTCTTGACAGTCTGAAAAAGTCTGGGCAAAGATTTTTTCTCCCTCGTGTATTGTGAGAATGAATATTAGAATGTCTCTGACCAAATTACGGTTCTCCATAACGTACATAATACAACGCAATATATATATGGCACAGTGAGAATAGACAGTCGGACAAAAGCAGGACAGAAATCATCCCTGTAAGCTATACCTGTCAGAACACGCACAGCCCTACGTTGTATTTTAAACATTTATTCACTCCCGGGATCAGGACCCCATGCAAAAATTGAATAGTTAAGTAATGAGTGAACAAATGCATAGTAAGCGTTTTTCGCCACACTTAGCGAAACATCAGAAGCAAGTCTACGCAGTAAATAAATATTTTTACTTATTTTGGACTCCATACAATTAAAATGATTGGCAAAGCGCAATGAAGGGGCGGTGATGTATGTTTCTAAAAATTTTACCACGTTAGGATTGCGAACCACAAGCCTACGCAAACCCAAGGAAAGTTGGACAGTTTTATCGTCATTCAGACACAGCTCATTGGCTACACACCAATCACGCCCCCTCGACAGCGCCTCTGTTGAAAGTTTCAATGTGTCATCGTAGTTAGATCCCCGAACCAACAGTGTGGCATCATCCGCATAAAGCAGGTACTTTAAGCCAGTTATGTTTGTACTTACGTAATAGGGAAAATCGTTAAGAAATAAAAGCGGGCCAAGTATCGAACCCTGTGGTACTCCCCTAGTTACACTCACAGACCTAGATGTTAGTTCACCTGTTTTTACAATTTGGGATCAAATTGTAACAATAACAAATATGAGGGTAGCAAATTTATAGTTATATGATCCATATTACATTTAGTTTCTAATTTCTGCAAGAGAATACGATGAGAGACACCGTCGAAAGCGCGCGACAGGTCCAGAAACAATGACACACAATAATCGCCACCCTCAAAAGCATTATGGCAGAAGTTAACAAACTCAACCACCGCATTTTCAGTACAACGTCCCCTACGAAATCCGAATTGGCCCCCAAAACACATATTTTGACCCTCCAGGTATTCTGCAATCCTATTGTAAATAATCTTTTCATACACTTTCGAGTACACTGGCAGGAAGCTTATGGGGCGGTAGTTTTTGATATGCTCTTTATTACCATCTTTGAAAACTGGAACTACCAATGCACTCTTTAGCAAGTCCGGAAATGTGCCTTCCTTCAAAGAACAATTTATAAGTTTGGTTAATGGAGAGACATATAGGTTGATAGTTCTCTTTATAAAGCCGACAGAGAATCCAAAGCAATCCCTTGCAGGGCCATTCCTTAATGAGTTTATTGTATCACGAACCTCAACTTGTGTGATAGCATACAGAGTCATTCTAAGGTTAGGCATAACCGGAATGTTACAGATGAGTATAGCGTCATGCTTAGAAGTTGGTAAATTTTTAACTAAGTCAAGAGGGGTGTTAATAAAGAAATTGTTCAACTCATCTGCATTCAGAAATACGTCATTAGTTCTGTTACTGCGATAAGTTGAATTGATCACAGTCCACGACTTTTGCTTCCCGTATCGATTGTCGATATGTGGACCTAAGCCTGTTTCGCATATGTAACAGGTCCGCAGATTTATACTTATTGTACATTTCACAAATTAAAACATAAGATGACCTCAATTTAGATAGAAAATAATTGAACCACTTCACGCCACAGTCAACGTTTTTCACTTTTTGTTGTCGATAAGGAAAAAGCCAAATCAAACACAGTTGATATATTATCGAAGAATATGTTGAATCTTTTATCTGCACCAAAGTCTCTAGATGTTAAATAATGCCAACTAAAGCTACTGATCATACTAAAATAGGAGAACAATCCGCGTTGTGTTATACATCTTACCATTTTCTTCTCTGTTCGAACGTTGTTCTTAACGACAGGCACAGTCAGATATTGTCCGAAATGATCAGAGGTTACAATAATTGAAATTCCCGCCTTGAATTCCAAACACGAGAAATTTAAAAACATGTTGTCAATATAATTTTTGCCCCTAGTCGTCGCCTTAATTGCTCACATGTACCCAAATAAATCGAAAATACTCACCACATTCAATGCATTGGTGCTAGCCGTTCCAAAATGAATGTTAAAATCACCGGCAATCATTACCAGTCGATGCTTTTCCAACAAGCAGGTCAGTACGACGCAAAAAATTTGATGATTACCTTCAGTTGATCTGTACAGGCATATATATACCATTCGCGTATTATTATTCCGCACAAGATCTATACCACATAATTCACAGTGAATCTCGACTGACATATCACTAACGTACTTCAAACATAAAAAACGCAACCCCCGCTTAACAAGGATAACAACACCCCATGAATAGTTTTCGAACGAGCGAAGTACGCTCCAAGAGCCCACCCACCAACGCTAAGTCCAACTTCCAACTCAACCGGACGGAACCAATGTTCACTGAGACACAAAACATCAAATGAGATAAAACTCTCATGTAAATACGCTTCAAGTGCACCAATCTTAGATCGTAAGCATTGAATGTTTAAGTGATGTTTAAGTATTGTTGGCCCCATCCGGCAGGGGAGCTCGCGGACCACAATCCCCACGCCGCTCGCTAAAGAAAATTAGTGTTAATATAAACTAAATTATTATTTAAAAAGTAATCGCTGTCGTTAACTTTGTGTTTTCGAATGACAGTAGAAAGAGTACCGAATGGTTTTCTCTTTCCTTTTCCGTTATAATGGAGACCATGGTACATCAATGGTCAGCCTGTAGATTACCTGAGCATGGTAATCAGCCAGTAAGAATACAACATATTGATAAAAATCTGTATCTTAAAACATATTTACGATAATCAGGAATTAATAAAAAAAATTTCCATCCAATCGAACAATAAAGTATTTGTAAAAAAAATTCTAAGCGGCTACAAGAAATTTTACAACATTCAAATCACTTGCGACGACTTATATTGAAACCTATACTATTATAGTTGGTATGGGTGAGGTTTGTGCCGTTATTCATACAATAAGGTGTGATTCCAACGTTTGAGTTATATTCGATTCTGCATCAAATTCAGATTCTCTCAAGCAAAAAGTTTTCATTAGATTTGCGCTCTATTATCGACTACATAGTTGCAGTAGTCTTTAATTTCATCATGAATGCCTTACGTTGCACGAATTTGTACGTTGATTATCAACAGAAGGGCGTTATTGCATTCATCCTCTAATAACTGTTTGAGTATTTGAAGGATCAAGATCGAATTGTACCTCATAGATTGAAACGCTGACAATATTTTGAAAATATAATTTTTATTATTTAAAGTAACACATGTTTAATTTAATGTGTATACTTTTAATATGGAAGAATCATACTATGATATGGTTTCTGTATACGATAACGCATCTTGAGTTGATAGATCCGTAAAAGAGCCCTCTGGGAGTCCTTATGCAAAATTAGTAAAGTATTGGCTCAATAATATAGATGGAACAGAGGCTGTATTTTTGGATAAGCAAGTTTATAAAAATCACTGAGTCTTAAATCATACGAAAAACATCAACGAAATTGTATGTAAAAACACGATATACAAATTTGTGAAGAGATCTTCAGACGATTTATTCACGTTATAAAGAAGATTAGTGAGGAATACACCGTGAAAAAACCTAACAAATTTCAACCAAGTACTTTCTGATGTGTATAAATTTATGAGAATTTTACTTCTGACGGGTTACCACAAATTACAACAATAGAATATGTATTGC